CTATAGCTCATATGGGCCCTTAGGCCTTTTAGGAGATTCGAGGGACCTTTATGGGTACATAGGTTTAGGGTTTGGGGTTTAGGGTTTAGGGTTTGGGGTTTAGGGTTTAGGGTTTAGGGGTTTAGGGTTTAGGGTTTAGGGTATCGTATAGGTATATAAGGATCCCAGGGTTACGGGTTTATACTAGGGGCCCATGGTTTCAGCCTTTCACATCCTAAACCTGCGGCATCCCGGCGATGCCGGAAATACAAGGTTGGGTTTAGGGTTCAGGATTTAGGGTTGGGGTTTAGGGTTTAGGTACCCCAGTAGTACCCTTTTTCCTATTTTCTATTCTGGGTCTCCTTACTAAAGCTGGACATTGGGAAGAGGGTCTCCTTACTACTATGGGGTCACTGGGGAACCTAGAAGGGCGCATATCCAGTCTATATCCCTCAGTTTTAGAGTATGGTCGCGGCTTAGGGTTTAGGTTCACAGTCTAGGGTTTAGAGTTCAGGGTTCAGGGTCTTGGGCTCCCAGATAAGGATTTGGATTTTCATTTCCCTGCGTTTAGAAGCCCTTGCTTGACAGGTTCTGCTTGGGAATACCAATACTAAGCTTGTCCTGCTAGCAGGCTTATGTAGGGGCATATAGGGGTATATATATATATATATGCGGTATAGGGTTTAGGGTCTGCAGGGTTTAGGTACATCTACTGGTAGTTATTAGTGTTCGTGAGCCATCCAGGCTGTTGCGTCGAACCTCTCAGTTCTAAGGAGTTCGGTGCTAGTAATTCTGGGTTAGAATCAAGTTGCCAGTACATGTAGACGTAACCAATGTAAGTGCATTTACATATACATATATATATATAGAGATATACACTCCATAGGTGACCTTTCAATGCCATGTATGACCACATGGACTGTTTGGGATTCGAACGCTGAGAAAACTGTGGCACAGGGTGGCAGTTCCTGACCTATTAGATCCCCTATATAGACCCATTCTAACCCCCATATAATCCTTATATAATTTCCCATAAACCCTAAACCCTAAACCTTCTACAATTTCCCCGGTGGTTCCAGGGGATCTAATTTTCAGATCCGTTTGGGGGTCTGGGGAGCTCCGTGAAGTCTGTACAATTTGCGAGAAGTCTACACCTTGCTCACAGGTGGTTAGTGGGAAATGGACATGGGTGGGGTCATTCCCCCTGACAGTAACTGTTACCACAATGGGTTATAGGAGTTATAAGAACCACCTTAATAAGGCCCCTTTAAGGACAGTTACTGGGAGGGGGAATGACCCAAGACATGGGTGTATCCTATTTCTTCCTACCATTCCAATCACCAGAAAGACGCCCTAAACAGTGTGAGGATCCTGAGTGATGGCTAGTATGCTAGCTTCCGACCCCAACATAAATCTTGTATGATCCCATGTACCTTTTACCTTGGAACTTATAGTATTACAGCATACTCAGGTCATGCAGGGTTTAGTATCAACAGTAACGAATGCAAAAGCTGAAAGAACTGCAAATATTGTCCCTGTTGTACGGTGACATTTCTTAAATAAATGGAGGGCGACCCACCCCAACCAGCCACGCAGGTAGTATACAAGATGTATTTGAATCCGGATGTTGTCCTGTTTAGATTAGATTCCATTTCGGATGTTTTAATCGTGGGCGGCCGGACGCCATGCTTTGCGGAAGTAGTATAGCGTACCTGTTCGGTTGTTTACGTGTCCGGATGTTTGAAAAGCGTTGCCGTATACATAGTTTGTTGGAACCCAACACCCTACTGCAATAATCAAGGTTTCTGCAGTTCTTAGGTCCTGATCTTGCTACCCTACACCCCAAATCCAACCTCCCCAAACCCCAAAGCCCCAGCCCCAAGTCGTGCCGTACTTGCTTCTTTGGATTTCGCATGCCGTGCCCGGCTACATGGATGTGACCTTAAACCCCTAAACTACCCCTAAGCCCCTGAACCCTTAAACCCCTTAACCTTAAACCCCTAAACCCCTAATCCCCTAAACCCCTAAACCCCTAATCCCCAAATCCCCTAAACCCCTAAACCCCTAAACCCTTACATGGATGCTCATGGCGAAGCATGGCCTCCCCCCAAAGAACTCAGATGAGCTATAGCCTACACTCCATGAAGGGGGTTACTACAAGGTTCCTGAAAANNTTTCTGTTACCTAGAATCCTAGTATTTAGCTGAAATGATAATTTCTACTGGGGTTCCAAATCCCTTAGAGGTTAGATAGGGTTGAGGGTTTAGGGTCTAAACTGCTTGGAGGGGGATTCTCTAGGGGGTTATGATACCCCCCTTTATTTAGGATTTGGGGTTTTTAAACTCCTTAAAGGGGGTTATGTAGGGATCATATACCCCCATGTATTTAGGGTTTAGGGTTGAAACTCTTTAAGGGGGGGTTATCTAGGGGATTGTTTAGGGGAAATGATAGGGGTTATTAAGGGAGATACTGGGAGTTTAGTAGACTATAGCTCAGATGGCAGCCCCAGAAGGATATGAGCTAGTGTCAAGATTAGCTTTAGTGCTTCAGGGACCCTTAATACCCCCAATAATGGAGAATCAAATAGAAAAGAAAATGGACAATGAAATGGACAGTGGGGTTATGTAGGGGCTTCCAGGGACTGCAATATTTCAATATTAGCATTAAGGGACCCTTAGCAGTGGATACAGTGCCCCCCCTTGTTGTTTATATATATATATATGTAT